CATGGTGATGGTCGTGCATGGAGTCTGGTGTGTACCCTGGAAACGTCCTGGGAATGTCTGCTATTACCCTCGGGCCTGCCGGTGGGTTTGGGTTCGGGGGCTAGGGGGTATTGCTGGTATGCCGTTTATCGCCATCAGCGTGCACGCACTCGCACATACAATACGCACACTCACACAGACACACACGCACACATGCGTGCTCACGCGCACGCACACGCACACACACACACACACACACACACACACACACACACACACGCACTCACGCATGCTCACATACACGTACACACGCATTCCCGCACACCCTCGCTTACAGCCACATCCCTCTTTATCTTTTGAGAGCACACTAAATTGTACACACACGCGCACTCACACACATACACACACACTCTCTCTCTCTCTCTCTCTCTCTCTCTCTCACACACACACACACACACACACGCACGCACGCGCGCGCGCGAACGCACACACTCACTCTCACTCACACACACTGAGCGCACCCTCTCGCACGTGCACACAGCGTGAGTCAGCCCCTCCTCCTACCTCACCGGGCCGGCCCCTGGCACCCGTATTCTACTCACGTTGGGGGCACAGGTAGAGAAGAGTTTAAAGTATGGGTGCTGCATGGGTAAAAGGCACCCAGTTTGAATAATCCCAGCTCGCCTGGTGTACATAGCTGTGTGCCTGCTGCCTTGGCTGTGCTGTAATCTTACCCCAGTGGGTGGGTGGTTTGTGGCTGTTCTGGTTTGCTCATCTCCTACCTCTGTTTATGAAACCAGTCGGCGGTTGGGGACTGTTTTTGAAAGTGGGTGGTTGGTGGGTGCTTTGGTGTGGTTTGCTCCTTCTTTCTTTACTATCAAACATCTACTCTCCTTCTATTTTGTGTTTGTTACTCTCTTGTTACGCCTCTAATCTTCGGCACTCATGTGACCTTATTGTGTTGCAAGTGCTGTAAAACTTTTACTAAAACTAAAACCAACAAACAAGGTGGCTGTTTTTGTTTGCTCATCTTCCACATCGGTTTATTTATAACCCAGTGGGTGGTTGGTGGCTGTTTTGATTCGCTCCTCCTATACCAGTGGATTTTTGGTGGGTGTTCAGATTTGCTCTCAGTTGACTGTTTTCCCCCCATTCCTATTGAGTCATATTTGTCTGCCCTGATTTGCTTAATCTTCTCAGCGGCTGTTTTCTCACTTCAGTGGTTGGGTTAATGGATGTTCTGGTTTGCTTATAGATCAATATAATGTCATTTGGCTGTTTTTCCTACTCAAGTGGGTGGGTGGTAGGTGGTCTGGTTTCTTTTCTCCCTTCCTTATTTTTCTCATCATTTTGTTTATTTAAATCTGTTTTAGAAGAAATGTAGGTGATCAAATGTATTGCTGACTCATCACACTCTACTGTTTCATGAGGC